GTACTGCTTTAATTAGTATTCCTTTATTAGAGTTATATTAGAATAGCGATTACTTTCCTGTTTGTTTTAAGAGACCCTTATTATCTATATATGGGGATCCCAAATAATTTAATAAAGCAACTCTTGATTAATTAAATTTGAGATCTCTTGACTAGATCGGATACCAAAGTTTAATCCTGTTAAGCCATATTCGGTTCATCTCTTTCACCTATTGAAGACAAGATGCGGAAGTCGCGCTTACGGTGGTTTGGTCATGTGCGTAGAAGATCGAGTGATGCACCTGTTAGGCGAGTTGAGATGTGTGGAGAAGAGGCAGGGAAGAGAGGGAGTGGAAGATCCAAACAGACGTGGGTTAGGGGAGTTCGAAGTGATATGCATCTTCTGGGGTTGGATGAGGGCATGACTTTGGAGAGAATTAAGTGGAGGGCGGGTATTCACGTGAAGGAGTGATCTTGATAATCTTTTTCCCTCATCTATTTTTTTCCTAGTTTTTTTTATCCTTATATATATAAGCATTATTTGCAGCCTTTTTATTTTATCATTTATATATATATATATATATATTCATCTTTTTTTATATTATCTTTTCATAATAGCTTATCTTTTTATCTTTATTCCTTTTTTTCCTTTTGGTTGTGATATCATGTATCGATTCATGTTAGCCAACCCCAATATCTTTTGGGACTAAGGCTTGGATGTTGTTGTAGTCTATTTTACAGATGCAAATATAACTCCATTTGCAGCTTCATAGATTATTCAGGTTCAGCTTCACTACCCATCTTTTTTCATGTAATTCCTGGTAATATGATTTCATTTTATTTTGAGAGAATTCCCTAAATAGGAGTAAAAACGTTTTAAAATTCCAAAATAGGAGTATCATGTTTTTTATTCCTTGAATAGGAGTAAATTTCTGCCAAGTTTGACATTACTAGGCTTTAAAACATGTCATTTTTTTCTAAACTTGGCATATTACTCCTATTTAGGGAATAAAAAACATTATACTCCTATTTTGGAATTTCAAAATGTTTTTGCTCCTATTTAGAGCAATTTCTATTTTTTTTTACCTTGTATTTGCTTTAATTTTTCTACTGATTTTGACCACGCTTTTGCTTCAGTTATTCTTTGATTTAGAAAAAACGAAGGAGCTTCCAACGGTTCCATTATAGGTACTTCAGTTTTGATTTACTCTTCCTACATTAATGGGATAATTAATATCAATGGCTTTTAGGTGCTTCAATTGTGATTCACATTTTTACCCTTTTAACAAACCTAAATGATTGTTTGTTGAGGAGTTAAATGGTGACGAGAATGAACAGGGGACGAATGTGATGCTCTTGATTGTAAAACATCCTCCTTGATGATGTGATCTGCGTAGGGTGATGTTTTCTGCCATCTGCTAATATTTTGAGGATTCATAATTGAAAATTGCCCTTTCTCATCTTATGTTTAGTTTTAAATTTGGTTTATTTTTCATATCAATTTTATATTAATTTCAGGATGTGTTTAACATTTTGGGTGTTACTTATCTATTAGTTTTTTACTTGATATAGATTTTATGTGGCCAAGTGAAGGATTCAAAAAGCCTTCACGTGATGATGGACTTTCCTTTGCTTACCAAGATAGCTCTTAAAATATTTGCTCAGTCCATTTTTGCTGAAGGTAAACCAAAACCAAATTTGCTCTTATATATATTGTTTTTTTTATTTATTCAATCTGTGATATGAAACAAATTAGTATCTTTATAAAACTGATTTAGTGAATGCACATAGTGGTATAATTTAAACTGGTCAAAATAGTTAAAATATGTTTCCATGATTATTTAAGTTGTTTTTGTGTAGGTAATTTAGAGTGTTTGGCCACTCCGCTTCTTGCCTTCCTTTGTGTACAAAGGTAAATATTCATCAATCTCCAGCTTCATATGTTTTTTAATTAATAAGGGCACATGAAAATTAAATGTGAGTTAGTAGGGATATTTTACAGGAATAATATTTTAATTTTTCCTAGGATCTTTCGTCGTATTAGTATGAAGGGGTATTTTTCTATTTGTTTTTTCACATTTTTTCTAAAAGCAAAGCCCTCTCAAATTATGTCCAGCTTAATACCTATTTTTCTTCTTTCTATAACTTGTTCTTTTGCATCATATAATGTTCTTTTTCTGTCATTACAATTTCTATATATACAAGTACGTATATTGCAGAGGGAGTGTGAAGTTTAATTTTCACAAGTACGTGGTGCGTGCACTAGAAGATGATTGCAAGAAAGTTTTCGGCATTAGACAAGTGATTATATAGCACTTCGTATGATTTCATTAGGGTAACTGTCTCTGAAATATGTACACTTATTTTGTAGAGGGAACCAAAGTTTATTGTTCACGAGCACATGGTGCATGCACTGAAAGATGATTGCACGAACGTTATCAGCATTAGACAAGTGATAATGACACCATCTAATATTGTTTTTCTTTCTATCGCTGATTAATTTTGCATTACTTTCGCTTCCAGAAAGTTAAATTCTACGAAAAAACTTACACTGACTGTGACTCCTACTTCCAAAAAGTTAAATTCGATGATTAACCTTGGCCTTTCACCTATATAAATTTGGGTCTGCTTGTTATTTCATATGAATGCCGAAGAGCATAGGCGTAGAAGATGGACATTTTCTTAGTTGCATTGAGTTTGAGTTAAGGTAAACTGCACCTTCTTTTCTCTTTTCACTGTACTCCATTGCTCTCCTGCTATCTACATTCACTCTTGCTATTTTGCTGAACTTTGTTGTGTAATGTACATATGCCTGCTTATGTTTTATTTTTTGTTCCTTGCGCTTCTGCAAAGAGTAAATTGTAGTGAAGGCAATACATTGATTCTTTGAGTGTGAATAGCCCTACAAGACTGTAACCAATGATTCCAATGATTCTAATGGAATAAATCTGCCTAAACTGTATTGGTTTATTACAGATTATTTCATTGGATGTTTTTAAATTTTATTTTTACGTGTTTATGTTGTGGAATATGTATTTAGATGAATATTAGCCTATAAAGTAAGTCTAAGCGAATTGTCTATCTGAATGTCATGTAAATATCAATTTTATCCCAGTTCCCTTGTGCCAAATGAATGTTTGACATAAATGATTTAAAACCAACCATGGTGGTACCGGCACTACCAAATGTGTTCGGGATATTCTAGCCTGAGAGGCTCATTCTCAACTGAGTCGTCTTCACCATGATTTCTTCTAATATACTACGTGATGGATAGTGTACCCGGGGGGTAGCTTATCCGAGGGGTTATTACGGGGAATAACTAGAGAGAAGTCAGAGCAAGTAAGTAGAGAGAGAGAGAGTATATTAGAAATGTATTCAGCGTTTTCAGCGTAATTGCCTCTTGGTTACAAATGGGGGAATGGGGTGCTATTTATAGCAGCAATAAATGCCAGATGGGGACACGTGTCAAGTATCCATTGGCCGAGGGGTCACCTCAACTGGTTGGCGCTGGCAATCACATGTGGCCGCATTTAATGCGGCTGTTGGATGTGACGTCGTACTTGGTATGGTGATCTACGCGCATGTGGAGCGGATATTATGTCGGAAAGGTGTCCTCGGCTGTAGATGATTAGTCGAGGGCTCTGAGCATCGGGGACCTTCTTAGTGCCGAGGGCTCTAGAAGTCGAGGGTTACTGATTTTCGCCGTTTTCTCCCAGTGACTTTACTCTCATGATTTGGCCATCCTGTGAGAATTGGAGCCTCCGGACAGGGGGCCGAAGGCACCCCTGGTGCGCACTGTGGGCCGCTTGGTACTCTGGCGCTGTGATTTGGGCCTTTTGTGCTTCCTGGGCCTGTTGGGCCTTTATTGGTGTAGTAGGAGTCTGTGGACTGGGGGCTCCCGGGCCATATACTCCATCAGGAGTCCCTCACTCCTTTTGCCGAAAGGTACTTGAAGGAAAAGGAGTAATTGTGTTTGTCCTCTGCCGTTGTTCCGTTGTAGTTTGTATAGTTGTTGGTAGTTTGCTGTTTGTTTATTCTGCCGAGGGCAGTCCCTCAGTTACCCACATGTCGGGACTTGAGGGGGCATGTTTGCTGTTTGCGGGAGTTTTTATCATTTTGCACTTTTTGTGATTTTTCCCGGGGGGGGGGGGGGGGGGGGGGGTCTCCAGTCCCCCACTCCTTGAGGCACTTGCAAAGTGGTGAAAAGGAGTAGAGTGATCATGTTGCTGTATTGGGCCGAAGGCTGACGCTTTTCGTTTCATTTTGGGGGGATGCCTCGTTAGAAACCTCATTAGGAAAAACCCTGTGGGAAAAAAATCCTAATGAGGGAAAAAGAGTGCACCGAATTCCCCCAACGATGAATCGAAAATGTCAAGCCCTGGTTTGGAATGGAGTGCAATGCTGATGCCGAAGGCTATCCTTATTCTGAGGGCGCGTGTGTTGATTAGCCGGAGGCTTGCTGTTGATATCCTGGGAGGTGCCGATGGGGAGTCCCTCAATCTGGGGATCGAGGGCGTGATGAATGTGAGTAGTAGTTGAAGTGTTACCGGGGTGTCCCCTGTTTGTTGATTAGTTGGTGAGGAGGGTATCCGAGGGCTCCCGTTACCTGTGTGTCGTAGGCTATCCGTCACTGAGGTGTACTCCCCGGGGGCTACCCTGGTCCTCAAAGTGTTGAGGGGGGAATCCCCGAGGGGTCCACCAATTATGAAGCCGTGGGCTTCTGAAGGAGTGAGCCCGAAGGCCTCTGTGATGTAGTATGAGGGGCATAATCCGGGAGTGTCTCTGGGTAAGTGTATCCGGGGGCTCTTCTTGATGAAGTGGAGTGAAGTAAAAAGCCCGAGGGCTAGTTCCTTGGTTGATGAAGGAGTGGGCTGCTAAATATAGCCAGAGGCTCCCAGAATATATCCGTTGTGAATATAGCCGTTGGAATACCTAACGTCAAAATATAGCCGTTGGGGGGGGGGGGGGGGAGGGGGCTTCCACGTGGTGCGTACTCGTTGGCTGCCCGTGGGCGGGTGTCACCGATTGGGCAACACGTCGGTTGGTAATGATGATTTTGTACTGGAGGCCCGGTATTCAGGCCCAAGTCCGGATTTGGGCGCCTATAAATACCCCATGGTCGGGCATCACTTCTCTTGTGCGATCATTTGTTAGCGAAGCTCTGCCGGATTTTTTCTAGAGAGAGAAAAACCTGCCCTCGATCTAATTCCCGTTCCGAGGTCAGTTCTCACCTGCTCTTCTCCTCTCTTAGTTAGTTGTGCTTAGCGGTCTTAGGAGTTGTACTTAGGAATCGCAGCTTAGGGCACTTAGTATTCCTGAACCCCTGAGCTAGCACAGACGATGTCTTCTCAAAGCGACTCTCAAGATATCTCGGGGGCGCCCTCGATGGAGGAGGAAATCGTCTCGGACGTGGAGTCCACAAGTGAACAGCCCTCAGTGGGACGAGATGCCGTCATAGCAATGGAGCTGCAGAGAGCCCTCGTCGCCGAGGCGGAAGCCGAGGGCTTCGAACAAGAATGCGAGGATGAAGAGCTGGCCGTCGCCTGGCAGGTAGCTGAGGAAGAGGCGCAGAGAGAGGGCGCGGGGGTCACCGTCGCTGTTCCCCCCCCCCTCGCGGCACTGGTGAGGCCAGCACCTCTCGGCCGTTGAACGCGGTTCCCCTCCGAGTGGCCCCCGGGAAAAAGAAGACGGGGTGCTGCTTCCAAGAAGAAAGGCAGCGTCGCAGACCAAGGGAAGCCCCTCGATATGCCCGAGGGGTATTCCTACCTGAATACCGCCGGCCTAGAGATAAGGTCGAAGGCTGATGAGGCGGATCTCTACGTCACCCAGTTACATGTGGGGCCCTCGGCCGTAGTGGTGGCGTCGGGTCCTGATGATGTCCTCTCCCGGGCTCCCGAGGGCTGCATTGCCGTGCACATCCTGTCCGTATCGATGGGGCTCCGGTTCCCCCTACACCCATTCCTTCGGGAATACCTTCGGTTTGTGTGTTTGGTCCCCTGCCAATTGACGCCGAACAACCACTCATACATCGCGGGCTTCCTCCATCTCTGAAAATCCCGGGGGGTAACGCCTAGCCTGGACCTGTTCTTTCAAAGTTTCAATTTGTGCCGGGGGCTCTAGAAGCCGAGGGTTACTGATTTTCGCCGTTTTCTCCCAGTGACTTTGCTCTCCTGATTTGGCCATCCTGTGAGAATTGGAGCCTTCGGCCAGGGGGCCGAAGGCACCCCTGGTGCGCACTGTGGGCCGCTTGGTACTCTGGGCGCTGTGATTTGGGCCTGTTGTGCTTCCTGGGCCTGTTGGGCCTTTATTGGTGTAGTAGGAGTCTGTGGACCGGGGGATCCCGTGCCATATACTCCATCACTACGTGTGAAGGATTCTTTGATTCTAACATTTCTATGAGAAGCCCTGACTATTCACATCTTTTTTGCTGATTTTTGTTTTTACTACTTTAGCAAGTTACTGGTAGCTTGGGAAAACAGCCTATGAATTTTGGATTGTTTTGTACTTATGCATATTTGGGACCAATATTGAGATATTGCTAATGGTTGGGATTATTCATATGTATTTTTCCTTTACTACAGATTGGCGAGGTGGATGAGGATCAACACTTGACAGTAAGTGTCTTGCAAATTCAGTTCTCTAGCATTCTCTGTAATGCAATATCCAACATGTGTGCATATGCAATATCCCCTTTTCTTTTCTTGGGGACAACTCTAACCATCATCCTTTTTGTTTAGTTTAAAACAAGCCATGATTACATCAGCTTTGTCCCAGTTCCCTTGCGCTAAATTAATATTTGGAATAAATCGGGTTATCCTCGCTTGAGAGGATCCTTCTCAAATGCATTGGCTTCACTACAATTTACTCTTATGAATCTTTCTTCTAGATGAAGTTTTCTATGCTAACCTCCCGCCTGCGAGAAGCCCAAATTCAACATGTGAGGTGGGTACAAAAGACACTTACCCGATGACATCTTCTTCATTCGTCCAGGTTTGCTATATGAAATTGTTTTCGGATTTTGGATATATTTTGATACCAGGAATCATGTTTAATTGAGAACTCAACCTGTCAATTATGCATGTATAAAATGACATGAAAATATATCACGAATTGATATTGCTTTTGAAAGAAATGAAAAGCTATATTAAATGTTGTTTCATGGAGCTAAACTTATACTCTATAGTATTGTTACTCTCTAATTCTGCTCATGTGATGTTTGATAAATAACAATAAAACTGATTAGAATCTGGTACTTCTTTGTGCCTATTTGCTTGCTTTCTTCTCAAATATGTATGTTAAATCACGTTAACAACGTTATACAGAATGCTTTCTTAGCTTGCTCTTGTTCTTCGACGTTTTTTCTATCTTTTTTTTTCTGTCCGTTTTCCGCCATTGGGCATTGACCCTCGCGCAACGCGCGTGCCAATGCTAGTATGTGTGTGTGTGTGTGTGTGTGTGTATAGGAAGCGGATTAGGTGAGAAGTGCCCTTGGGCTGAGAACTGCGAATTTAACTTATAGACTGAAAACAGGAACTATAAACCAAGAAATCATAACTTATAAACCCCTCGAAATAATTATGAACATGCCACCGCAAAAAAAAAAAGTCTGGAGACCTTGGAAATTTTTGGACGTGGTGGCATTTTCGTAATTACAATAGAGAGTTTTATAAGTTATGATTTATTGGTTTTAAGTTCCTATATTCAGTCTATAAGTTTACTGCGTTGCAAGATCACATGCAAATCCAAGGCTACGATTACTTCTCACTTCTCATTTTAAGGGGCACTTCTCACCTGATCTTTTCTCTCTCTCCCTCTCTCTCTCTCTCTCTCTCTCTCTCTCTCTATATATATATATATATATATATATAGGGGATGGTTCAATTACAAAGAGTTCTTCCCATGCAAAGTGAGAATGAATCTTGTGAATTCATTTCCACATCTAATGGCTCAAAATGAGCAAAAAATGCACTAAATTTGACCAAAATCGCGGGTGGCAATTTCATAATAAACCGCACTTTTTCTCTATCGCGAAAAAAGTGCAAACGAAACATGAAAGTGCATATCTTCGCACTTTTCACGGGAAGAGGTCTATTTATTTGAGGTGAGAAGTGCAAATAAGCCCTTTTATATGAGGCTCTGTCTGGCCGTCGCCATTTTGGATTGTTTCCGGTGGATTTTTTTGATGAAATTTTTTGAGTATCTTCTTCATTAAGTGTAGTTTATTCATACCAAATTTCAGGTAAAAAGTCAATCGGGAAGGCAGTCAAATGAAATTTTGAAGATAACTGCATAGTTAGACAGCGCAATATAATTCATAAAATCATTTGACTGTCTTCTCGATTGCATTTTTAGCTGAAATTTGGTATGGGTAAACTAGACTTAATGAGTACGATGCTAAAAAAATTTCATTAAAAAAATTCTACCGGAAACCACCCCAAATGGCTACAGCCGATCAAAACCTCTTGTAAAAGGGCTTATATACACTTTTTATGAAAGTTCGAGAGCTTATTTGATAGTTCTCCCACATTTATTCTTGTATTAATTGATCTCCTAAAATACTGTGCCAAAATCAAACGCCAAGATTTAACCGGAATAGAGGAAGTACCGCATATGAGAAATCTAAAAAAAATTGCTCGACAATATTTTGATCCTAACTAGCATTTCACCAAAAGGAAGTCAAATGTATGTACCTTTTATTCCTTGTTATTGACAAGTAAAACATAATTTTAATCACTTCCCTTAATTTTCTCTTGCATTTCTCTTTTTGACAAGTAAAACATAATTTTAATCACTTCCCTTAATTTTCTCTTGCATTTTTCTTTTTGAGTTATTTTTTTCAAAAGGCATCAACTTTATCCCAACCAATAAATCAACAATATAATGATGACACATTTTGGGCTGATGAGTATTATTGTAGACAGGGATCTGAGTTTTATAAAAGTGAGATTTTTAGTGTTTCCTCTATCGATTTTTCATAATAAGGGGAGAACTGATTTCTAATTTGTGTAGAGTGAAAAGATCTATCCATTTAGCAACCCCTTCTCATACTAGAGAAATGTCATCTCAATGCTCTAACGCTACACCTGATATGCACCGAAGTGTCTACACCTGTGAGAATACATGGAAGACATAAAGTAGAAAACTCGAAGTCACGTATTAAAAGAGTCATTCAAACAATAGTCTCATAAAACTCGAATTGACATAAAAATCGACTCTGAATATAATTAGGATTGAAATGTTGAATTTAGTTCAAGACTCGAAATGACAATAAAAAGTTACTATAATTACAGTGTCATGATTCCCCTCAAGTGTAAAAATTGAACATAAGTTACTATTAGAGTTATTATATTTCATAAATCATATTTTTGTAAATAAATTTTATTTTAATCATAAATATGTATTACCTACATCCCATTTTGGATGTCTTGTTTTAGTTTAGCACAGTTATTAATAAAAATGGTTGAAAAGTAGAAGTTTTAATTGAGATTTGAGTAAATAAAATGAAATGATATTGATCACATATTTCTTGTCAAAAAAGAAACATATCATTTATTTTAGAACAGTAAAAAGATGAAAGTAAGAGATAACTAATATGAGACTATTTCTTTGTTGGGTGTGTATTTCAACTCAGGTCTCCGACCAAAAAACCTCTCACACACCACCCTAGGACTGTTTAGCCACTCTACCAACTCATCAAGTTTAGCCCACTCTAATCTCACCTCTCTAGCTCTCACTCACAAAAAGGAAACTCTTAAAGAGGAAGAAGATTCTTGCCACATTGTCTCACTCAAATTCTTACACTCCACACACCTCACTCAAATTTAAGGAAACTAGTTAATTTTAAGGGAATTTTAGGGAATTAGTTAATTTTAAGTGAATTTTAGTGAAATTTAAGGAAATTAGTTAATTTTAAGGGAATTAGTTAATTTTAAGGGAATTTTAGGGAATTATTTAATTTTAAGGGAATTTAAGTGAAATTTAGTGAAATTTAAGGAAATTAGTTAAATTTAAGGGAATTAGTTAATTTTAAGGGAATTTTAGGGAATTAGTTAATTTTAAGGAAATTTTAGTGAAATTTAGTGAAATTTAAGGGAATTAGTTAATTTTAGGGAATTAGTTAATTTTAAGGGAATTTTAGTGAATTTTAGTGAAATTTAAGGAAACTAGTTAATTTTAAGGGAATTAGTTAATTTTAAGGGAATTTTAGGGAATTAGTTAATTTTAAGGGAATTTTAGGGAAATTTAGTGAAATTTAAGGAAATTAGTTAATTTTAAGGGAATTAGTTAATTTTAGTGAAATTTAGTGAAATTTAAGGGAATTAGTTAATTTTAGGGAATTAGTTAATTTTAAGGGAATTTTAGTGAATTTTAGTGAAATTTAAGGAAACTAGTTAATTTTAAGGGAATTAGTTAATTTTAAGTGAATTTTAGTGAAATTTAAGTAAACTAGTTAATTTTAAGGGAATTAGTTAATTTTAAGGGAATTTTAGGGAATTAGTTAATTTTAAAGAAATTTTAGTGAATTTTAGTGAAATTTAAGTAAACTAGTTAATTTTAAGGGAATTAGTTAATTTTAAGGGAATTTTAGGGAATTAGTTAATTTTAAGGAAATTTTAGTGAAATTTAGTGAAATTTAAGGGAGTTAGTTAATTTTAGGGAATTAGTTAATTTTAATATATTAATAATACTCCACATATAATATGTTGGTAATGTTTATAATTTAGAGTTTTTAACCTGTATAATTTTTTTATTATAATATTCAGGCATAATGTATAGACAAAATAGAATTCGGATGTATGATAAACAAGCGGTATTGTACGGAATGCAATCAAATTTTCTTGAAGGGGTTGAGGAGTTTATTAAATTCGCACTTGAACACCCGGCTTATATGAGTGGTGATAAAATTAGATGTCCATGTTCAAAGTGTAAAAATCTCAAATTTAAACACCCAGACGAAGTTGGGTGGGATTTGTACGCGGACGGTTTCCTTCCCAATTATTACAATTCGACTTCTCATGGCGAACCTTTGGATCCATCTGTTTTACCACAAACGGTAGGTTCGTCTCGTAACGTCCCTGCAGAGATGAGTGCGTAGGGAGACCCTGCTGAAATGAGATGGGAGCAACGTATGGTATATGACGCATACGGTGCATCGATGTCTCAGTTCAACCCCCCACAACCATCTAACGATCCTCCTGAAGCTTCGACCTCGTATCAACCACATGAGGATGAAAATCCGATATTTTATGAACCTTATGTGGATGAAGGTTTAGCTGAAAGATTTCAAGATGTTTTAAAAACAACTGATCAACCCTTGTATGCTGATTGTGAGGGATACTCTCAGCTATCCGCCGTTACAGAGTTTATGAACATAAAAGCTGAATACAGTCTTCCTGAAACTTGCATGACTAGAGTCTTGCAGTCAGTAGGCGGGATGCTACCACGTGATCATAACCTTCCGGATTCATATTATCACATGAAGCAATTAAATTTTATCCGGAATAAATTCAATTTTTTTAAATTTAACATAGTCACGGATACGTCCGTGACTACCACAAAAATAAAAAAAATTAAATTAAACTTAGTCACGGCTCGTGTCCGTGACTAACATAAAAAAATTTAAATTAGAAGTAGTCACGGATCTGGTCCGTGACTAACGTGCCGGAGGGCTAATTCCGGTCAAGATGTAGTCACGGATCGACTGCCGTGACTAATCCGTGACTACACCTAGTCACGGCCAATGTTCCGTGACTAAGTTCTAGTCACGCGGAATTAGTCACTGAACTAGTCATGGACGAAGTCCGTGACTAAAAGTGTTAGTCACGGACTTTTTACACTACGGTCCGTGACTAAGTCCGTGACCACAGGCGAATTTTTTTTGTAGTGTTACCACGAATAAGTGGACGAAAGGTCTTGGTAGGATCAATACCTCCAACATTCTCCACCTTATTGATCCTAGGTGGTGTAGAGTAACAAATACACGGTCGTGAGGAGACTCATCATTGCTGAACCATTACAAGTACATCATTCAGATAATACAAGTAATAGATGAGAACCAAAATTCCCTTT